AGCACACCGATGTCTTCTTTCGTTTCCAGGAGGATAAAATCAACGCTCTCATCAAAGCGGCAGGAGTGAACGTGGAGCCTTTCTGGCCTGGTCTCTTCGCGAAGGTAAAACGAGGCAGGAAGAAGGTCCCCAGTGTGTGTGTGTGTGTGTGTGAGAGAGAGAGAGATGCAACCCTGGGGCTGGAAGAGGCCGGCAGTCCTCGGCTTAGGACCATAATTGAGTCCTAAATCTCTACTGCTAAGTAAGACGGTTGTGAAGTGAAGTTTGCCCACTTTTATGACCTTTCCTGCCAGTTAAGTGAATCAGTTACATGGCTTCCCCATTGACATCACTTTCCAAAAGGGAGCCGACATAAACACAGGACAGTTGCCGAGTGTCTGAATTTTGATACATGAGCATGGAGACATTGCCATGGTTAGAGGGGCGAAAAATGGTCCTAAGCCATTTTTTTCAGTGCCCTTGTACCTTTGGGCAGCCGCTAAACGAAAGGTGGTATGTAGAGGACTACTTTTGTTTTCTTAGCTCTTCCTCGTCTTTGCAAAGGAATCGCGGGAATCTTCAGCATTCATAGGCTGAAGCTGTGATTAATCATCAACATAGGAAAGTGGGGCAACTATCCTGGTGTAAAAGCTCTTGCTCAGTGGTGGAGACTCTCCCCTTCACTGGTGGCCATCAAAGAGACTAGAGAGCTATCTGTCCAAAACCTCTTCTGCAAAGCTGGACAGGATGACCCCTAATGTACCTCCAAGAATGGAGCTTCAATGAAACCAAACTAAAGAAACCATTTGCCCAAGAAACTCTTAACATATCAGAGAGAAAGGTCTAGGCCAGGGGTCTTCAAACTTGGCCCTTTGATGACTTGTGGACTCCAACTCCCAGAATTCCTCAGCCAGCGTGCCTGGCTGAGGAATTCTGGGAGTTGAAGCCCACAAGTCATCAAAGGGCCAAGTTTGAAGGCCCCTGTCCAACACCATAGGATAGTTTTTAATATTTTAATCCCTGTGGTTTTATGTGAATGAAGACTCGATCATCCGGGCCAAAAGTATCTTAAAAATTTAAATCATGGCAATTGGAGCAAAGTTTATTAAACTTGAGATCTTTTTGCTACTTCTTCAGTCAAAATGAAAATTTTTGGTAGAGAGTCGTTGGAATGTACTAACTCTTTACTTGACTGCAGGGGAGTTTCTTCCCAAAAAGAAATGCAGTGTTATAACCAAAAATGTTCATTTTGACTGAAGAAATTACTTGGGTCAGTAACGAAACATCTCGGTTTAATAAACTTGGTCCATTTGCCATGCTTTAGCCTTTTAAGATAACTGTCGTTTCAATCTTTTGTTTTATAACTTGTAAGCTGTCTAGAGTCACGTTGGGTGGTGTGTGAGTGTGAGAGAGAGAGACATAAACATTCAATAAATAAAATAGTCTTGTTATACAAGTTCCATGTGGGGTTTAGAGCATTGACAACTTTCTCTTAGAACAGTATCAAACCATGGCATCTTTTAAGTCACGGGGACTCTTTTAAGTCCCAGACTTCAAGTTCCTATTCTGGAACTTGAAGTCCTCACGTCTTCAAAAGTAGCCAAGGCTGAAAAATGGTCCTCAAGTTATATACAGTGAAGGCTGGCCCTTGTTTGATAGGAATGCTAAAGCTTTGATGCTTTTACCAGGCTTTAACCAACATCGACATCGGAAGCCTCATCTGTAACGTGGGAGTTGGTGGTGGTGCTCCAGCCGCATCGGCCCCAGCGGGAGGAGGGGCCCCTGCCGGCAGTGCTGCTCCTGGTGAGTGAAATGGCTCGTCCCAAACGCCTCCAGCCTGGTGTTCATTTTTGGGGTACTTTTCAATGAACTGAGGTGGGGAAAAAAATGCCCCTGCTTTACTTAATCTGCACTATTAATTGTTTTGTAGCTGAAGAGAAGAAAGAGGAAGAGAAGAAAGAAGAGTCGGAAGAATCTGATGACGACATGGGCTTTGGTCTTTTTGACTAAGCTGGTTTTTTTCTACTCTTTATAATAAAGAGGAAAAAAAAACACTTCAATGAAACTTGGTCTTTTGTTTACAAATGCTCCAGGTGCACACATCATCCGTGGCTTTCCACTGCTACAAATCGCTTGCATCCCTTCTTACATAAAGTTTACTCAGGAGCAATCTGTTCTCCGCCTAGGCCAGGGTTAGCCAACCTTGGCTCTTTTGTGACTTGTGGACTTCAACTCCCAGAATTCCTGAGCCACCATGGCTCAGCTTGGAAACCTCTCCCTTTCCCCTCAGTGTGCCTGTCAGGAATTCTGGGAGTTGAAGTCCACGAGTCATAAAACAGCCAAGGTTGCTTACCTCTGGCCTAGGCCGCTGTCTGACTCGTGGACTTCAGCTCCCAGAATTCCTGAGCTGGCATGGCTCAGCTTAGAAACCTCTCCCTTTCCCCTCAGTGTGCCTGCTCAGGAATTCTGGGAGTTGAAGTCCAGGAGTCATAAAAGAGCCAAGGTTGCCTACTGCTGGCCTAGGCCAGGGGTGTCAAACTGCTGGCCCGCGGGCTGGTTTCAGCATGTGGAAGCCGCACCCACCCCATTGCCAGCAAAGTCACGATGCTTTGCAGCACGTCACATGACAATGGCGAGTTTGACACCCCTGGCCTAGGCTGTCCTGCCTATGTGGGAGGGGGGGGAAGGGATCAAATGCCTTTTGGTGAGGAGGCTGCCATTTGTCAGCTGCAGTTTTTGAAACTACTACTATTCTCCAAAGCGCCTGAAAGCAGGACAAAAAGCAAAGCAAGCCGATCAAGGAGAGAAGCAACCTGGAACTAAGGAGAAACTTCCTGACAGAACAATTAACCAGTGGAACAACCTGCCTCCAGAAACTGTAAATGCTCCAACACTGGAAGTTTTAAAGAAGAGACTGGGCAGCCATTTATCTGAAATAGTATAGGGTTTCCTGCCTGAGCAGAGGGTTGGACTAGATGACCTCCAAAGTCCCTTCCACCTTTGTTATTAATGTAGTTCTCGACTTGCAGCCATTTGAAGGTACAGTGGCACTGGAAAAAGTATTTCATGACCGGTTTTTCACACTTGTGACCCTCGGGGTCACATGATCGAAATTTGGATGCTTGGCAACTGGCTTATATTTATGACCGTTGCAGCGCCCCTGGGTCATGTGATCATCTTTAATACACTTTACAAGGCCTTGGTAAGGCCACACTTGGAATAGTGCATCCACTTTTGGTCACCATGATGTAAAAAAAGATGCTGAGACTCTAGAAAGAGTGCAGAGAAGAGCAACAAAAATGATCAGAGAGCTGGAAGCTAAAGCATATAAGGAACGGTGGCAGGAATTGGGTATGTCTAGTTTAATGAAGAGAAGGACGAGAGGTGACATAATAGGAGTGTTCCAATATCTCGGGCTGCCCCAAAGAGGGAGTCAAGCTATTCTCCAAAGCGCCTGAAGGCAGGACAAGAAGCAGCAACGGATGGAAACTAATCAAGGAGAGAAGCAACCTGGAACTAACGAGAAATTTCCTGACAGTGAGAACAATTAATCAGTGGAACAACCTGCTTCCAGAAGCGGTGAATGCTCCAACACTGGGAGTTTAAGAGACTGGACAGCCATTTGTCTGAAATGGTATAGGGTTTCCTGCCTGGACTAGATGACCTCCAAGGTCCCTGCCAACTTTATTATTATTAAATACTTCAATCATTCCGGATATAGGGTGCGTGATCACTGCTAGCACGGTGACAGTTTTTAAGGAGAGATTGGTCAACCATTTGGCTGAAATGGTGTAGAGCAGGGGTGTCAAACTCAATTTCATTGAGGGCCCATCAGCATTGCGGTTGCCCTCACGGGGAGGGGCCGGTAGGTGTGGCCTACTGGGTGGGCGTGGATGAAGTGGGTATGGCCTAATGGGTGGGCGTGGCCAGCTCTACATCGTTCGCATCAAGGGGGCCTGGGCAGGAGTGGGACAGATCTGAGGGTCTCTGGCAGAAGGCGGTGGGACTGGGGCAAGTGCCAAGGTGATGGTGCATTTCTTCATTCCTCACAAAGGGTGACCCCTCCCCAGCATGCACCCAGGGGGCGGGGCCGGCATGGTAGGAGCTGGTTCCTCGCTGTTTCCAGACGGCCTTGTGGAGCTAAGACTGAATGCGTTTCAGCATAGATGGCCACCACAAAATTGTACAATGGCTCCCGGCTGGCCTGGGCCAGGGTCAAGGCAGTGGGGGCCGTTCCCTCACTGTTTCCAGGATGGCTTCGCGGGCCACATGAAACCACTTTGCGGGCCGCATCCGGCCCCCGGGCCTTGTGTTTGACATGTCTGTTTTAGGGTTTCCTACCTGAACAGGGGGTTGGACTAGATGACCTCCAAGGTCCCTTCCAACTTTATTATTGTTAAATACAAACCAATTGCCAAGCATCCAAATCAAGGACCAACTGTAGGTCTAGGACAGAGGTGTCAAAACTACCAGCCCGCGGGCCAGATGCATCATGGCAAAAACCGCGCCCACCCCATTGCCAGGAATGGAAAAAAAGTCACGACGCGTCATGTCTATGGCAGTGGTTCTCAACCTTTTTAATGCCGCAACCCCCCATCTGGTCATAAGTCGAGGACTACTCAACTGGTGCAGCACCGTTTGCAGAATGGGACTTTTGGCGGGCTCAGCAGGGCAGAGACAGCCTGGACAATTCCTATTGGCTTTTGAAAGCCAATAGAATTAGACTCTATTCAAGAGAGTCTATTCTATTGGCTTTCAAAAGCCAATAGAATAAAAGGGAGTAGCACAGCTAAGGAAAAGGGGGGGAAAAATGGCGGACTGCGTTGTTTGGTGACCCCCGTGAAATGGTCGTTCGACCCCAAATGGGGTCCCGACCACAGGTTGAGAACCACTGGTATAGAGTTTTCTTGCATGGGTTTCCACTCGTTCCAGTAATATAGCCAAGGATACCGTAATTCATTGGAACCACTCAAAGTGGACTCACGTTTCTCTTGTTTGTTACATAAACTTAAAAGTAGAAATTGGATTTACATCAGACATTTTTACTCTCTTTCGAGGAGCCGGGCTGTTGGGCGCCTCTTTTCTCATTTTATTGAAGGCTTGCAATTTTGCATACTTCGAAATGCCTCATTCTCTCCCGCAAAGGATGCATGCATGCATGCATTCTTATCAGTTCCACAGTCAGGCACTTGATGAGTTGGATTCAAGCAGTTTTAAAATATTTATCATGGCTTTAATCTTTTCTTTATAAATTATATAAAAATGGGGAACATGGTATGGTTACAGAACTTCTAAATGCAGCTCCATTTCTTACGTAGAAAGAAAACGACTAAAAAAAAAAAACAAAACTGGCATGTTATTCTGGTGAAAACAGTTCTGGGTTGTGTTCTACAAGTCCCAAAGGGTTCACATACATCCCACACGGGAGTAGGAAAACAAGATGAGGGCTTTTTTTTTTCTTTTCTTAAATTTGCTTTGAAATGAGATACTTTTTGAAAATATAGCTTTTTTCATCTCTGTAAATTGTGATTAGCATTTTGTGGCATTATTAAGTGTTCCGATAAAAAAAAGAGAGAGAGAGAGTTCCAGTCACAGCAGTTTATACGTTGTGGAAAAGAATTCTCAGCCCTGAGGTTTCCCAGAATTCTTCACACGGTTTCAGGTATGCAGCTCAAAAGAGTTCCTTTGTCAGTTTTTTTCTTGGTTTGAAGAAGAAGAAGAAAAAAAAAGCAATTCCGTCTCTTAAAACAGAGGCCCCCCAACCATTTGGGCACCACCAGGCACCGATTCCGTGAAGAGAGGTTTTTCCGCGGACCGGAGGGGGCGTGGATTTGTGTGCTGCCTGCATCTCAGGGATGGGGCTTTGCTTGTTTGTGTGGACCGGCTGCTGGCATGCCACGGCCCGGTATTGGTCCACAGACCGGGGGGTTGGGGACCCCTGTCTTAAAAACATTTCACGTTCTGAATGACGTGAAACCCAAAAAAAATGGGTTTCTAAGTTTTTTGTTGCGTTTCGGTTTTGACCCCTGTCTTAAAAACATTTCACGTTCTGAATGACGTGAAACCAAAAAAAAAAATGGGTTTCTAAGTTTTTTGTTGCGTTTCGGTTTTGGATTTTTCTTGGCATTGGTTTTTAAAAAAAAAAATTTAAAAAATTGAGAGAACCAACAAGTTGACAATCCTGGAGTTGAGCTGTCCGTTCTTGTTCCTGCTGAAAGGGTGGCCGTCGCTTGCTTTAAAGGCTAACAATCCTTTTTCGACCTGTGCAATGCAAAATCCGCTTCTCCGCTTCTAGTGAGGCCTGGCCTGGCCAAGAGACTTTAGCCTGGCCTGGTCGATAACATCCAATAGGTTTTTGGCGTCTACGGCGAGGGCGTGAGCGGCCGTCAGCATCTGCTTCTTGTATTCCTGCTGCAAGCTGGTCATGACGTACTGCTGAGCCAGCTTCATCTTGTTAATCAATTCTGCCAGGTCGGAATTCAACAGTTTCTGAGCCATCTCGATCTGAAAGAGAGAGCACAGAGTAAGAAGCTCTGCCAAACACATCGGAAGCGGAAAAAAAGTCCCCAGTTTGATCCCGAATGACTGAAGGAGAAGATAAGCATCGGCGCTGGGTGGTTTTTTCTTGCAAATGTTTCATTGCCCAAACCAAGTTTGCAAGAAAGCCACCGAGCTCAGAGAGCATCCAGACCCCTCATTTCAACCCTGAGCTACGAAGATTCTACTTTATTGGTAAGATAGCATCGTGTGTGGCCTCTCTATTGGTGAAGGCAAATCTAGACTGATGGCGTGGAAGCAGCTGCCCTCGTGATTTTCCTGGCCAATTTCATGCATTTTTTTGCAACATTCACAGAAACTATTAGCCACGATCTCTAGAATGTAGGTAGAATACCTGGTCCAAGTCCCCCCTCTGGCATCCAGGCTAGAACCAGCTCCTAGTCCTGCACATTAAGCACTGGACCAGGGGTCTTCAAACTTGGCCCTTTTATGACTTGTGGACTTCAACTCCCAGAATTCCTCAGCCAGGCACACGTGGAGTTGAAGTCCACAAGTCATAAAAGGGCCAAGTTTGAAGACCCCTGCACAATTGAATGCCTTCAATCTCTTAGACCCGTTACAGAAATTAAAGAACAAAAAAAGTTTGGTCCAAAAGACGTCCAGGCAAACGCCAATAGTGTGAACCAGGGCTTTTCAACCTTTTCACCCATTGTACCACTTTTAGGATATGGCAACATCCGAGTACCACCAGTCGCCTAGCAAAGTGTCAAAAAGTTGATAAAGTACAGGTAGTCCTCGACTTACAACAATTCGCTTAGTGACTGTTCGAAATTACAATGGCACTGAAAAAAGTGCCCCCCAAGCCCCAGCTGAGCAAGACACCTGCCTGCCCACCCGGTGGCGCTCTTCCTCCTGTCCGAGGTTTTCATTGTTGTGAGCATTTCTGTTGAGGATTGGCAGCGGGGTGGGGGGATGTTTGATTTTTATTCCCCCCATCTGCTGGGCGATTGCAGCAGGTTTTGGTCACTTCACATGACCCTGGGACACTGTGACCGTCATAAATATGAATCAGTTGCCAAGCATCTGAATGTAAATCACAAGAGCCTGGAGATGCTGCAACAGTCCAGCTGATCGGCGCTTCTTCTGGATTCAGCAGAAGTGTCAGGATCAGTGCTGCTTTCCAGCTGATTGGTGCTTCTTCAGGACTCAGCAGAAGCACCAGGATCAGCGCTGAGCTCCAGCTGGAGCCTGGCACTGATCCTGGAGCTTCCGCTGAGCCCTGACAGCCCTGCAGCTCCAGCCATCTCTCGCTCAGGCTTGTGCGGTGCTGCCCCCAGTTCAGCTCATTCCCCTCCCCCACTATTTTTCTAGGATGGTCGCGTACCACCTGCCAGGTGCCAATGTACCACAGGTGGTACCCGTACCACTGGTTGAAAAGCCCTGGTGTAAACCATTGCAATTCTATCCATTAAAGTTGAGGTCCTACAAAACCAGGGATAGTTTTGCCAGTCTTTAAAAATGCTGAGATTCAAGGAAGGAATTCTGCCTTTTGCTAGAACAGGGTTTCTCAGCCTCGGCAAACTTTCAAGCTTTGTGGACTTCCAACTCCCAGAATCCCCCAGCCAGCATTTTCCTGGAATTTTCTAAAAATTCCCTTAATAAGAATCCAAGCGACATGATTGAATAATTTGTCAACCATTTGTCAACAGCCTCAAGTCTTGGAAGTGAGCGCAGCAGAGTGTCGTGCGTGACTGTATGTATATATTCTATATTTGTTTTGCCTACGTAAATATTTTGAGCTTCCTCTCGCTTCACGCGCTCTCTCTTCTTCTGGATTCCCATGGGAATCTCCTTTGAACTGCCGTCAAATGAAGCCACTCGTTTTTACTGATTTACACAACCACAAATTTGATACAATTTTTTTGTTGTTGTTCCACATTCTTTACCTTTATTCCAACCTGAAATCTAGTGAACTGGCTGACATGCATACGTTAGGGAGAAAATGAAGCAAGATCTAAACACAGGCTTTAGAATTTACTGTAGATAATAACATGGTAGGCCACAACTCAGTTAAGAAAGATGCAAAAAACAAACAGGCAAAAGTGCTTATACCTCTCTGTGAGTGCTTGGTGGGAGGACCAGAATGGTTTCATCAACGGTTGCCAATAAAGTTCGCAAGGCCAATCCGACTTCCTACAACATAATGAAGCATAATTAAATCAGACTGAGCACCATCGCTCCAACAGAAGCACAAGTCACAGACACCCATCCTTCTCCAAAGTGCATAAACCAAACATATATCTCTATATTTCCAATGCTCTGAAACAGTGTTTCCCAAACTTGACAATTTTAAGGCATGAGGACTTCAACTCCCAGAATTCCACAGCCAGCAACGCAATTGTCAAGTTTGGGAAACACTGCTCTGAAACATCTAACCAGGACAGATTCTTCAAGAGAGGGACTCGGGAAATATTTGGGACTAAAATTCTCAGCGTACAAAGCTCTAAACTTTGAAAATCCGTGTTCCCGGAGATTAGGACCAAAAGGAACTTGCTCAAACCCCGCGTGGAGGTAACACGCCTTGTACAATGAACATCATCCAAACCCAAAATGATTTTATAAGGCTCAAAAGTGAGTCATTTGCAGTCCAACTGAAGCAACCAAGCAAATCATTTGCGTTCAGCGCCGGACCCAGATTTAAGATAAACCACACACATTTTTTAGTAATGCAGGTGCTTGACATATATGAATGTTGGTCGTTAGGTCCTGATGGTCGTAAATTGGGAGGGTCATGTGACCAACCCAACTTGATGGCTTTTACAGCCAACATTAAGCAAACATGGGCAGTTGTAAATTGAATGCCGCAGTTGTTCAGCAAACCCATTGCTATCGATGATGCAGTAAAACTGTTACAAAACAGTCACATGACTGTTAGACGCTGCAAATGGCAGCCATACAGCCTAAGTGACCAATCATAAGTCAAGGACTATCTGTCCATGCATCAATATTCATTATCTTAAGTCAGGGGTCTTCAAACTTGGCCTTTTTGATGACCTGTGGACTTCAACTCCCAGAATTCCTCAGCCAGGCACATGTGCCTGGCTGGGGAATTCTGGGAGTTGAAGCCCACAAGTCATCAAAGGGCCAAGATTGAAGTCTCCTGTCTTACAGCGATTCCTAGGCCTACATCTTGGCTTGTTTAGTTACAAATAAATACAGGTCTCTTTCTGAAGGCATTGCGAAAAGCAAGTTTGAAGCCACCAACAGGAAACGGCTGAACCTTCCCAGTCCCGGCGGGAGAAACGACGACTCCCCGTATGTGGCAGAACGAGCCTCAGCCAGCACAGCCCCTAATAAGGGAAGCTGGCTGCTCCACTCTCCATTCACGACGTGCATCTGAAAGGCTTCCTCACAACACGGGGGCATCGTGCCTCTCTTGGGCAGTGTGTCCCTTACCTTCACCATGGGGACATACTCCTCAGGGGGCGCTGGCTGGATTTTGCTCGACATTTCTATGACCGCCTTGACCAAGCCGGTGACGTTCTCGTACACCTTGTCGTTTGAGCGATCCAAGTTAGCCGTGGGAGGAGGGCTGATCTCCTGTGGCTGAATCTGGAAGAAAAAGAGCATGGATTGCCCACCAGATGGCACCAAAGTACTTTTGAAGATCTTTTTGGCTCAATGGTTCGCCATCAATGAAGACCTAGGACAGGGGTCTTCAAACTTGGCCCTTTTATGACTTGTGGACTTCAAGTCCCAGAATTCCTCAGCCAGGCACATGTGCCTGGCTGAGGAATTCTGGGAGTTGAAGTCCACAAGTCATAAAAGGGCCAAGTTTGAAGACCCCTGCCCTAGAACTATCACAGCGGCCCCACGGGGAACCACGACAAAAGAGAGCCGGCATTCAATATTTTTATCTCATGCTGAGACCTCCACATGGACAGGATTTTTGATTTAACCCTGGTTATTTATGGTTTCCAAAGCACTGAAAACAAGGAGGGGGTGGGGGTGGGGAGGTTGATTTGATTTTCGTCCCTTTTGATCTGTGAATGTGATGCGTGCACCAAAAAAGATGGGAGTTAGAATTGCTCCAATGTTGGCTACTTTGGAATTAGGGAAGGGTAACAAATCTGTTCCTTTTATAGCTATTCCATCAAAGGTCAAAATGATAATGAGGGTGGAGGTTTGTTTTCCGAGCTGGTGGGTTGGTTTCTGAATCTTTCGTTGCCAGGCTACGTAATATTTTAGGGCAGGGGTCCCCAACCTTGGCAACTTTAAGACTTGTGGACTTCAACTTCCAGAATTCTTCAGCCAGCGTGCCTGGCGGAGGAATTCTGGGAGTTGAAGTCCACAAGTCATCAAAGGCTCAAATTTAATCTGAAAGCTAGCACCACTTTATCCTGCACTGGTTAGGCCACATTCGGAATACCGCATCCAAGTTTTGGTCGCCACAATACAAAAAGGATATTGAGACTCTAGAGCAGTGGTTCTCAACCTTTTTAATGCCGCGATCCCCAACCGGTCGTAAGTCGAGGACTACTCAACCGGTCGTAAGTCGAGGACTACTCAACTGGTGCAGCACCGTTTGCAGACTGGGGCTTTTGGCGGGCTCAGCAGGGCAGAGACAGCCTGGACAATTCCTATTGGCTTTTGAAAGCCAATAGAATTAGACTCTATTCAAGAGAGTCTATTCTATTGGCTTTCAAAAGCCACTAGAATAAAAGGGAGTAGCACAGCGAAGGAAAAGGGGGAAAAAAATGGCGGACTGCGTTGTTTGGCGACCCCCGTGAAATGGTCGTTCAACCCCAAATGGGGTCCCGACCCACAGGTTGAGAACCACTGCTCTAGAAAGAGTGCAGAGAAGAGCAATAAAGATGATTAGGGGACGGGAGGCTAAAACATACGAAGAACGGTTGTGGGAATTGGGTATTTCTAGTCTATTGAAGAGAAGGCCTAGGGCAGGGGCCTCCAACCTTGCCAACTTTACGACTTGTGGACGTCAACTCCCAGAATTCCTCAGCAAGCACAGCCCTTAGAAACAGAAGAATACTGACATCCCTTCAACTCCACTGAAGATATTACCTAGCCTGGTAACAAAACGTTAGGAGACAAAGCCACAAGTTTGGAGAACAGACCTCCACCCTCAACTTAACAGCCGAGCTACAGATTTTCGCCAGCATTGCAAAATGGTTGATACTTACCGTATATGCCGGCGTATAAGACGACTTCCGGAAGCGCTAAACTCGGCGCCAAAGACGGGGGTCGTCTTATACGCCGAGTCGTCTTATACGCTGGAAATATTGGTAGTTTCCGGCGTATAAGACGACGTTCTAGGAATGCAGCCCGGCTATAAAGACGGGGGGCCGTCTTATACGCCGGGTCGCCTAATACGCTGGCATATACGGTAAATAGTCACTATAAAATTTGTTTTCTCCTTCATACTAACCCAGAACTACCCTAAAGTTGTAGGGTTCTAACCCAGAATTACCCCAAAGTTATGAGAGATGAGAGGCAGTGATGGGAATGTGAACAAACTCTGACTCTGTGTGTGTGTGTGTGTGTGTGTGTGTGTGTGTGTGTGTGTGTGTGAATTCATCCATACATACGCCTAAAGGACAGATATCTTGTTCACACACACGCTGGGTTTGGCCTCCCCCAACAACAGACTGCAACCCTTCTCCTGCCATAGATCACCAGCATGATCTGTGCGTCTCTCCTTGGTCAGTTTCCCTCCGTTGCTTCTTGTCCTGCCTTCAGATGCTTTGGAGAATAGCTTGACTCCCTCTTCTTTGGGGCAGCCCCTGAGATACTGGAACACTGCTATCCTGTCCCCTCTCGTCCTTCTCTTCGTTAAACTAGACATACCCAATTCCAGCAACCATTCTTCATATGTTTTAGCCTCCAGTTTTAGCCTCCAATCATTTTCGTTGCTCTTCTCTGTACTCTTTCTAGAGTCTCAACATCTTTTTTACATCGCGGTGACCAAAACTGGATGCAGTATTCCAAGTGGGTCCTTCCCAAGGCATTGTAAAGTGGTATTAACTCTTCACCTGATCTTGATTCTATCAGTTAATGCAGCCTAACACTGTGTTGGCTTTTTTGGCAGCTGCATCACACAGCTGGCTCACGTTTAAGTGATTGTCCACTAGGATTCTGAGATCCCTCTCACAGTTGCTACTATTGAGCAAGGTACCCCCTATACTATATCAGTGCATTTGGTTTTTTTCTTGCTTAAATCTAGAACCTTGCTTTTTTCACCATTGAATTTCATTTTCTTAGATAGCGCCCAGTGTTCGAGTCTGTCCAGATCCTTCTGTTACTGCTATTGACCCAGGTTTCACCTAATCTGTACCTGTACATAAAGTGGTATTAACACTTCATGTGATCTTCATTTTATCCCTGTTAATGCAGCCTAGGATTGCATTAAAGTGAGGGCTTAAGAAAGGCCCTCTCTTCAAATACAGCGGAGAAGGCAAAGTAGACTAAATTATGGCTATCTGAGTACAGGGTGCTGCAAATGGTAGTTGCCATACTGTCGGGGAGGGAATATATTAATTCAGATTAAGTCAAGGTATAATTCAGGGTATAAGACTCTAGAAAGAGTGCAGAGAAGAGCAACAAAGATGATCAAGGGCTGGAGGCTAAAACATATCAGGAATGGTTGCTGGAATTGGGAATGTGTAGTTTAATGAAGAGAAGGACGAGGGGGGACAGGATAGCAGCGTTCCAGTATCTCAGGGCTGCCCCAAAGAAGAGGGAGTCAAGCTATTTTCCAAAGCCCCTGAAGGCAGGACAAGAAGCAACGGATGGAAACGAATCAAGGAGAGAAGCAACCTAGAACTAAGGAGAAACTTCCTGACAGTCAGAACAATTAACCAGTGGAACAACCTGCCTCCAAAAGTGGCGAATGCTCCAACACTGGAAGTTTTTAAGTAAAGACTGGACAGCCATTTGTCTGAAATGGTATAGGGTTTCCTGCCTGAGCAGGGGGTTGAACTAGATGACCTCCAAGGTCCCTTCCAACATTATTATTATTATGGATCATCGCACAGTCAGCCAGATGTTCAGACTGGATTTGGCATTTTATCTACCTATCGAGTCCTTACCCAGGACCTGGGATAGGCAGATTTGGATGTTTGATGGTATTACAGGTATCGTCACAGGATGGAAGCAGTTCCTAATAAGGCCGCCTTTTGCAATTGACTAATAGCGAATTTGTCAATGCCAATGGTGTTCAAGTGGTGCTCCAGTTGTTTTGGGATTGCACCCAAGGAGCCTATGGATTATTATTATTATTATTATTATATAGCTTTTTCAGCATTTGTCGTAACTTCTCGTAACTTTCTAACGCTCCCTAGTCAGGGACGGTCTGTCATTCCCTGCCAGCGAGAGCTTGTTCTTGGCGTTGACGGTAGACTATACCGTGAGGCTTGTCCATCTTTGGTAATCCTCCTATAAAGGGAAGCACCTTAATTTCTAAGGTTCCCCAAAAGAAGACCCTCTTCCCGGCGGCTTATGGTCCGAGGGGTTTTCAGCCGAAACAAGGGGGTACTGCCCAGATTTTTGTGAAAGTTCGGAGAAGCCCCACCCTCACCACCCTCCATCAGCGTTCACACACAATCTGTCGCTCGCACCGCTGCAGAGAAGGGGAAGGAGAGAGAAAGGGTGCTTACCCGCCACGGCTAGTGTTGAAGTAGAGATTTGAGGAGGAATTAAAAGACATTTACCACGGGGCAAAAAAGGGAGGAAAAGACAAAAGAAGAATGTTAATCCACTGCAGCCAGGGGAAGGAAAAACAAAAAAATTACAAGCGGCAGCCAAAGAGGTCTGTTAAATCCCACCTCCGGCCCCCCAAATCCCCCCCAAATGCATCCAGCCAGGCCCCCCTGTGCATTTAGCTTGCCCCCCCTTTCTCCCCCCACAGAAGAGGTTCCGGGCCATGCACCGCCCCGCTCAGAGACATGCAAAAAGCAGTCACGGCAAGCAGGTCCCAGGTGGGAAGCAAAGAAATGAACGCAGTCAGGAGCCTTTTTTTTTTTTTCCAATCGGGAAAGTTCTGAGCACAAAAATCTCTGCAGAGAAGCTCAAGCAGAGGAAATGTCAGCGTTTGTTTAGAAGTGTGTGTGTGTGTGTGTGTGTGTGTGTGGGGAGGGGGGAGAGAACTGCTGGATGGAAGGAAATATTTAGTCATCTAATTACTATGCTTCTGTTTCTTGAGCTTCTTGGTCTAGATTCTAGCAGGAGAGATGACTTGGAGGCCAAACGGTCCCCGTGCTCGGGTTGCCTAGTTGTGTTAGCTCAATACAATTTTTTTTTTAAAAAATATATATACATAAATCTCTGTTTCTGAAATCAACACAATTGCACCACAAGCCTGGTGTGATTTGGCCGGTGCTTGGCTGATAGTTCTCTTGGCAAAGGTTAAGAGAGAGAGAGACCTTTTTGACCAGCCAAAGCATCAGGAGTCTTTTGAAACTGTCCAATGAGAGAAGGTGATTTTTAACACAGGGCGTCCTCAATTTACAACAGATTACTAAGTGACTGTTCAGAGATACGACGGTACTGGAAAAAAGGAACCGACAACCATTTTCCCTGCTTCGTACCATCCCCACCATCAAAATTCAGATGCTTGGCAACTGACTCACGCTTGTGACCTTGGCTTTGTCCCGAGTCGTACAATCACCTTTTGAAAAGTCACGTCCATGGGGAAGCCAGATTCACTTTAACAACCAGGTACTTATCAACTTAACGACTGTGGCAAGAAAGGGTCGTAAAATGGGGGCAAAACTGACCACCAATCTCCCGCTTAGCGACAGAAATTCGGGGCTCGGTTATTTTTGGCCAAACGGTGGTTTTAAGACGCACACAGATGCTCGAGCCTCTGCGTTCGCGCCTGCATCCAGTCCCACCTTCATTCCACTTTTTAAAAAAAGCTAAAAGCCGTGTAACATTTACAAGATTTGAACCTCTCTTGCTGCGGAAGAGTAGTAGGGAAGAATGCAAAGCAGAATTTATTATTATTATTATTTTTTTGCGGCAACAATTTTTTGATGAACTAAAACATTCCAGAAGAGAAAAAGTTTCTGTTTAGCTTGGCAGGTTTTAAAAAACCATTTTCTGTTCAAACAGATGGTTTTAGGTATTCCAGAGGAGGAGGGGGAGGAGGGGGAGGGGGAGGGGGAGGAGGGGGAAGAAGAAGAAGAAGGAAGAAGGAAGAAGAAGGAGGAGGAGGAGGAGGAGGAGGAGGAGGAGGAAGAAGAGGAAGAAGAGGAAGAAGAGGAAGAGGAAGAAGAAGAAGAAGAAGAAGAAGAAGAAGAAGAAGAAGAAGAAGAAGAAGAAGAAGAAGAAGAAGAAGAAGAAGAAGAAGAAGAAGAAGAAGAAGAAGAACAACAACAACAACTGGAAAATCCAGAATAAAAAACAGCAGCCCAATTTTATGTCTTCTCTTAATGGAGTCATTTTGAAGCCTCACAATCAGAAGAGATGGTCTTGAGTTCTAGTCAGGGGCTCCTATTCTAAAATGAGGCCCTTATTTTGAAGCTACTTATATAGAAACTTTCAAGATTTCAACCCTGACGTGAGAAAATAAAATGGACATTTCTGAACGTTGGCGGCTTGGCTGGGATAAACGTTGTAGTTGTCAGTCTTTCTGCAGAGATTCTGCAGGATTCATTTCCCCTCAGGAGTTTCTGAGCACCAAGAAAGCAAGGATGTCCAGCCTTGGCGACTTTGAAAACTTGTGGACTTCCAACTCCCAGAATTAATAATAATAATGATAAAGTTGGAAGGGACCTTGGCGGTCATGTAGTCCAACCCCCTGCTCAGGCAGGAAACCCTGTACCATTTCGGACAAATGGCTGTCCAGTCTCTTCTTAAAAACTTCCAGTGTTGGAGCATTCACTGCTTCTGGAGGCAGGTTGTTCCACTGGTTCATTGTTCTAACTGTCAGGAAGGTTCTCCTTAGTTCTAGGTTGCTTCTCTCCTTAATTAGTTTCCACCCGTTGCTTCTTGTCCTGCCTTCAGGTGCTTTGGAGAATAGCTTGACTCCCTCTTCTTTGTGTCAACCACTGAGATATTGGAGCACTGCTATCCTATCACCCCTCATCCTTCTCTCCTGAACTTTTACAGAATAACAGAATGACAAACTTGGAAGGGACCTTGAAGGTCTTCTAGTCCAGCCTGCTGCTCAGGCAGGAAACCCTATACCATTTCGGACAAATGGCTGTCCAGTTTCTTCTTAAAAACTTCCAGTGTTGGAGCATTCACCACTTCTTGTGGCAGGTTTTTCCACTGGTTAATTGTTCTCACTGTCAGGAAGTTTCTCCTTAGTTCTAGGTTGCTTCTTTCCTTGATGAGTTTCCATCCGTTGCTTCTTGTCCTGCCTTCAGGTGCTTTGGAAAATAGCTTGACTCCCTCTTCTTTGGGGCAGCCCTAAGATATTGGAACCCTGCTATCCTGTCCCCCCTCGTCCTTCTCTTTGTTAAACTGGGGGATGCTGGCTGGGGAATTCTGGGAGTTGAGATCCACAAATCTTAAAAAGTTGTCAAGGTTGGACGCCCTGGGTTCAGAGAGAGAAAATGGTGGAGCCCTGTTTCTTACCAACCCTTTTCCTGAATTCCCACAGATGGGAATAAACTGGGCCACTCCTTCAAGCCACCCCTCCCGCCCCCGGAAGCTCTAAAATAGACGTCCCTTAATGAGAATGTCTATTTTCGGCCCTCGATGAGAACGGAACTCTTGGGAAAGACGAGGGTGCTGGAGTCAGAAGCTTATTTTCCTTGAGAAGATAAACGTGGAGACTTTTATTCCATTTGACCTGGAAGTCTAGAAAGCCATTCTACTGCAGTGGCCCAGTCTAATGCTCTACTCTTGCTTTTATCTCTGTAGGGCAGTGGTTCTCAACCCTTTTAATGCCGCGACCCCCAACCGGTCGTAAGTCGAGGACTACTCAACCGGTCATAAGTCGAGGACTACTCAACTGGTGCAGCACCGTTTGCAGAATGGGACTTTTGACGGGCTCAGCAGGGCAGAGACAGCCTGGACAATTGCTATTGGCTTTTGAAAGCCAATAGAATTAGACTCTATTCAAGAGAGTCTATTCTATTGGCTCTCAAAAGCCAATAGAATAAAAGGGAGTAGCACAGCTAAGGAAAAGGGGGAAAAAAGGCAGACTGCGTTGTTTGGCGACACCCGTGAAATGGTCGTTCGAACCCAAATGGGGTCCCAACCCACAGGTTGAGAACCACTGCTATAGGGGGAAAAGAATATTTGTGGCTGAACTGTGGGGTGCTCTCTGAGCTTGTGTTCTTGCAGACGTTTCATCACCCAACTAGGTAATATCATCAATGCTAGAAGGGGGTGGGATTTGCAGGGAGGAGGAGGAGGGGGGGAACAATGATTGTGGAGTCCTTGGTGCTCTCTGAGTTTGGTTATTTTCTTCAGATGTTTTATTACCCCACTAGGTCATCAGTGGTAGAGGGGCCATCAATGGACACACAGAGATAAACAACATCTACACACCGTTCAGAAGAGACAATCAAAAAGCTAAACAGGAAAGAAAAAGCAGCTAAACAGGAAGCAAAATGACCCAAATGCCTCCTCACTAGCAATCAATACTCAGATAAGCAGAGATTAATAGCAGGATTAATACCAAACCAACGTTCAAGAAATAAATAATCTAGGAACACCCGCTCAGACCAATAATCAAACAATAACCGAGGTGGCGCAGCAGTTATAGAGTGCAGTACTGCAGGCCACTTTAGCTGACTGTGTTCAGCAGGTCAGCGGTTCAAATCTCACCAGCTCAAGGTTGACTCAGCCTTCCATCCTTCCGAGGTAGGTAAAATGAGGACTCAGATTGTTGGGGGCAATGTAAATATATATATACATTGCTTACTGGTGTACACCGCTTAGAGAGTGCTTGCACTTAAAGCGGTATATAAGTCTCATAAATAAATAAATAAATAAATAAACCACAGCCTCGTCAAGGAACTAGAAAGAACATTGTCACCAACACTGACAGGGGAAGCCACTCATATTTAAACAGAGTAAACCCCACTCCCTTCTAGCCAACAAGAAAACAAACAAGCTCAGAGAGCATCAAGCATGACCCCAAAGTCACGCTTGTCTGAAACGCACAAAGTGTGTGTAGCGACAGGGCAGTTTTCTCTAGCCGTTGGTAAGCAGAATCGCAGTGATTCTAACACAAAGGCTCCTTTCAACTCTCCTGGAAGCCTTATTCAATTTCTTAAAAGACTTTTAATAAGAAAACTATATTCCATATAGTTCGTGGCCCAGAGGTATACCAAAGTGTACTCCAATTCCATTTTTCTCTCTCCTTGGTTTCTTGTTCAATCATTTCTGGGAGCAGCAACCCACAGCAACCTAGCATTAACTGTGGGGTGGGGGTGACAGGGGAAAGACTTTGGTCCCTGGATGTATTTTTTTAAAAAATGCATCTAATCCACCTAGTCCAGGGGTAGCCAACCTTGGCTCTTTTATGACTCGTGGGCTTCAACTCCCAGAATTCCTGAGCCAGCATGGCTCAGCTTGGAAACCTCTCCCTTTCCCCTCAGCATGGCTGGCTCAGGAATTCTGGGAGTTGAAGTCCATGAGTCATAAAAGAGCAAAGGTTGCCTACCCCTGACCTCGTCTATGACTAAAGAGTTTTGCATTTCATATTAATTCATGAACAGAACGTCATCCCGGTAGCAACAAATCTTAATGCAACATCCTCTTCCGTGTGCCAAAGATTTGCTCAGCCCAGTTTTATGGACATTTTTGAGAAATACCAATAGGGATATATTTACAGACTTTTTAAGAATCGGCTGTAATGAAAATTGGGACTCAAGTGGAAGTACATATCAAACGGTATTAGATGCAATATGGGGAAAAACCAGCTACATATCTCCAGGCCAAATTGCAAATGCAACTGGAGTCCCAAGTGCCCACCTGGAAGCAGCAGCAACAGCTATTTCCGAATTTTAATAGAAAAGGGGAAGAGAAGTTCCCCAAATCCATCCTCATACTGCGGGCTGGAAGGCTGTTTGGTGCAGAGTTCCCTCTCTAAGGTAGAAGTCCCCAATTCCTGGGCTGCGGACCAAGACCGGTCCACGGCCTGTTAGAACCCGGGCCACACAGCTGGAGGTGAGCAGCAGGCAAGTAAAACTGCACATGCACGGGATCTAGGTTGCGTGCTCCTCTCCCCCCCCCACCCTGGTCCGTGGAAAAATGGTCTTCTATAAAATCAGTCTCTGGTGCCAAAAAGGCTGGAGACCCTTGGTCTAAGGCAGTGATGGTGACCCTTTTAGAGACCGAGTGCCCAAAACCCACTTATGCATCGTTGAGTGCCGGGTGGGTGTGGCCCATTGGGTGGGCATGGCTGCAGTGATAATGGCAGTCTGGGTGGGACTAAAAAGTTCAATCAATCAATTCCAACTCTGCAAGATTCTTTTTTTCCCACGAGAAGTTGAAATTGACTGATTGAACCTTTTTTTTTTTTTTTTGCACACGGCGGCAGAGGCCTAAAGCAAAAAAGTCTTATAAAACCCAGCTGAAGGCCTAGGACTAGGGCGACGGTGCATGTGCCCACAGAGAGGGCTCTGCGTGCCGTCCCTGGCACCCGTGCCATAGGTTCACCACCACTGCTCTAAGGAATCTTTTCCAGAACAGTTTCAAAGGCTGGGCAATAAGCAAAAAACCTGGTTTATTGTAGCTAAGTTAAAAGATGTAACCTGCTGTGGTCGTTTTTAGTCATAACCAGGCAGAGATAAGAAGCTGGCTGGCAGGCTTGGGCAAATCTCACTAAAAGGAGTTAAGGTCTTTCGCTCCCTATTGTGGCTAGTGCAAAGAGCCAGGCAAACCCTCATGGGATAGTGACAGCAAGTTCCTAGTTGGAGCTGGGTGAGCAAGGAGATTGGGGGAATTTTAAATCCCAGCCATTTCCAAGCCACGATTGAAAAAGCAGGAATCCCTGGCTTTCAGGCCACCCAGCTTCTCCCTCTCGGCTGGGGCTAGTTGGGACCTGTACGTAGTAGAAGAGATCCTTCAGCCCTGCGAGGCAAGCTTGAAGAAGACCTGACTAGAAGCTTGGAACAGCTGGATGAGCAGGAAGGGTTCCTGGGGAGATGGGACGAGACAGTGCAGCACACATACTAATGGCGATGTCAACTCAACCGCCATTTTATGGCCCAAATGCTTTATGTATCTGATTGTCCCAAACGTAACAGATTTTAGCTACACCGGCTGGAGAATTTTGGAGGCCACACATCTTGTAGCTGAGGTTGAGAAGCCCTGTTCTACATGAGTAGTAACAGCACCCTCCCCTTTGACTGGTGCCTGTTGATGACTAATGAACAAGTCTTCCAAGTGGCGGTTGTACCTTAACCCCTTCGTTGTAGCTGTCCACAGGGTTGTTGAGGCTGGCAAGGCTGCCCAAGTGGCTGGGAGCTCCAGGGCGTGGTGGCTTTTTGGGTGGGGCAGCATGATCTAGGAAGAAAAGACGTTGGGTACGATAAGGCAGAGGCTGCGGGAGATGAGCAAGCTGAGCCCGAGGGAGGAGGGGTCAAACGTGTCATCAGTCTTGAGTTCCTTCCTGCCCACCAGAGATCTCAGTCCAGCCCATCTTGAATTCCTTTGACTCTTATCTACCGCCAACTCGCTTTGACCCTTAGTAGTTCAGATTTTTGTAGAGAGCTTTAGTATACAAATAAACATATACTGTGTACTTGTCTGAACTGCCTGGACTCTTGATTTCCTGTGCGCGACAGAGACTTTGGGCATCAGATTCACTGAGTCCCCAAGCAAAGATTGTAGAAGAGAGTCAAGCTTCTTTGATGCCCACTTCCACATGGAACCATTAAGGCGGAAGGAAGGAAGGAAGGAAGGAAGGAAGGAAGGAAGGAAGGAAGGAAGGAAGGGAAGGGAAGGAGGAAGGGAGGGAGGGAGGAAGGAAGGAAGGGAACAAGGGAGGGAGGAAGGAAAGAAGGAAGAAGGAAGGAGAGAAGGGAGGAAAGAAGGAGGGAGGGAGGAGGGAAGGGCAGGGAGGGAAGAAGGAAGGAAGGAGGGAGGAAGGAAGGAGGAAGGGAGGGAGGAAGGGAAGGAAGGAAGGAGGGAAGAAGGGAAGGAGGGAGGGAGGAAGGAAGGGAATGGAAGAAGGGAGGGAGGGAGGGAGGGAGGAAGGAAGGAAGGAAGGAAGGAGGGAGGGAGGGAAGGGAGGGAGGAAGCTAGCTCTCATACTGCAACCAAGCATAAATATCTTCCCCTGAGTTTCTCTTTCGGATTTTTTAACATCTCCAAGGTTAAAGCCATGTAGCGAACTTACTATTTTATTAATATGCCCCTTTGTGCAGAGTTGCTTGATGGCAAGATGGACAGCATATGCATTTAATAAATAAAATAAAGAAACCTGAACCCTCAAATCAGCATCAGCTGGAGATGGGAGGATTTGAAAGCTCCTGTGTTACTCCTGATTGTCATTCAATGAACTGGCCACTTAACTATTCTGCTTGCTTCTTAAAATGGTGTCTACCTCTTCACCACAACTTCAAACTCATTTTCCCAAAAAGGAAAGGGAAGGAAAGAAGGAGAGACTCAAAGTTGAGACTGTGATTTACATACCTGGTTTGCCCACAGGCTGATAAATGTGCTGGTTAGAAGCCTGCAAAAAAATAAATAAATAAAATAAATCTAACCACACAAAAACAATGCAACCCTCTTCCAGCTAATCCCCCACACCCTATTTTTTTCCAACGTGTTTGTCTTTCCCCAATCTCAGAGGAAGGCAATTAAGTTTTTATACTTTATTTATAATTTTATCTCTTTTTATCGTAAGAGACAAAGCCATTATTTTATCTCTGTCTTGTGGTGATGTACCCTCTGACTAAGTCACTGCTATCGTTACTCAGACAAAATGGCATATTTACAACAAGCGCCATCCAAAAGTACTGAAAATTTTAAGATGAATTATAGGTAACAATTCTAGTTGGAAAAACTCCTTATCATAGCCCTCTCCGTATTGTTTAACAGATTTTTCATAGTAATTACTGCTCAGTTGTACAATAAAACAGAAGCAAGCAAACAAGTCCAGGATTATTTATTTGGAATGCTTCATAACTGATTTGAAATCTTGTCACATGTTTGAAGTATATCGACGGCAATTCTCAATCACCAGTTCTGAAGAAGCTTCTTGAATAAGAAGCAAAACATTTTCAAAGAAAAATCTAAAAAAGTGCAATTGCCTTTTGGAAAAGCACCTCTGGGATTTTTAAAACATGTGGCCAAACCAAAGAAAAATTAGTTCTATCATTGATCAACAATGAGAATGACACTTAATGAGTACTGATGAGGGTTTAATTCTTAGGAAAGCATGCTTGTGTTTCGCCTTTATAAAAAAGTGTATTAGCAGAGTTGATTTCTTGTGTTTGCTAATGTAATTACTGCTGGGAAAGGCAAGGCTAGGCAAAATCAGCACAAGGCATTTTTATTGCAAACATAAAGCAATCCGTGACGCAGAAAACAGACTCCTTAAATCTAGAGCCTTGAATCCATCACAGCAAAGTACTAGAAAATTGGATATTCACATTTTTTTTTTAGAAACTGGGTCTCAAATAAAATGTAAATAAATTTATAAGCAGAAAGATCAATCGCAGCACACCATTTTTTTTAAAATCAGTAATTCTTGGGGACTGCTCTGACTTAAAAGCATCCCATTTTGCTTTCAGTTTTGAGCACACTTTACCCTTGAATTAAGCCATCTATACATTCTGACACCTGTGTGTGGGTCTGTGGCACCACATTTTGCACGCAAACACCCTTTTGGACTTCAGTTCTGGAGACCTTTGTCCTCCACAAGGGGTGAAGGCCCTCCACTTACGCAGTGTTATGAGGGATTGTCACAGTGGTTCTTCATAATGGATGGTCCCTTGCCAACATTCCTATGTGAAGCACACACAAAACGCCACCCCTCTGGCAATATAGTACATGTGTGAAACACACAAGGACACACAGTAAACATAAGATCCTGCTACCTTGGACTGTTTTTTTTTGAGAGCCTTCCTAGCAACGCCAGAGAACTGCTTAGCATTAATCTACTGACAAATCCAATCTTCCTGACCATCATAGACCAGCAGAATTATCTACTAATAAACAGCCGGTCTGCTAAAAACAAGCTACCTGCATAGAGTCCAAGAAGGAAGGACTTCCACCTTCCCTTCCAATCCTTGAAAACTGAGCAAGCCACAACATTTGTGGAATCGGATCCCCCAAATCGATTCTATTTTGCTTTTCTCAACAGCCTCCTGGGAAGCCCATTAGCAACGTGCAATCTTCCCAACCCATCCGTCAGACCAAAAAACAATTTCAGTTTATTAAAAAAATAACTAAAGCACTGCCTGCAAGGATAAGGGAACGCGTCGGTTCCAGAGGCAGCACGAAAACAAGTTACTCCCGGCGTGTTGTGGGGAACAGGCAAGCGTCGCACCGAAATATAATAATCGGGCCAACCTGAAACGAATCGGAATTCATCTCCTGAAAGCCGATGGGAATGGGAACCTCATTCCCCATCGAGAAGAACCAAAGCAGTGTTTTGCTCGGGAAATGGGATGGATGTCAGCTTACCGGACCCTGGAGACTTCCGTCCTCTCGGTCAATGCTCCCTCTGGACAGCCTCACGTCGGGTTTCTAAAGAAATGGACAAGAAACGTGGTTTTGGATCAGGGCTTCCAAGAGCATGGCCTGTCCGATAGCTGAGGAATCAGACATGTTAGCAGAAGCAAAGGAAACACTGATAAGGGGGAGGGAGGGAGGGGAGAAGTATGCTTTGAGTAAGAGAGGGATGCTATTGCATTCCTTTTCTTTCTATCCCAACGTTGTTGTTGTTGTTTTCTCTCTCCCCCCCACCAACCGGCTTTTGCAAAACTCAGCCAGGGAACCTTCTCCAACCTCGCCCCACCCCCCCAAAAAAACTTTCTATCTACCCACTGTTGGCTTGCACGCATAAAGACTTTTGAGATAAATGTTGAGAGTACCATTTCCCCAAGACAACATTGGAAAACCTGCATTTTAATTCCCTCGGGAGGAGGAAGAGCAGCAGCGGCGGCAGAAGCAGGAGCAGAAGCAGCAGCTCGGCACAGCTGCCCTTTCCTTCCTAGCAGCGAAAATTTTCAACCACAGGATGAGAAACGCTGCACATTAATTCCTGTTTCCTGCTTGAGGAAGGCTTAAATGTACTTGGCTCCCTCGCCAAGCTTCCTAAAGGGGGCCGATTGCTCAGGCTCTCTAAAAGCACAAGAGACCTAGAATGCTAGCAAGAGGGCCTGCGCCCAGCAAGGAGGAGGAGGAGGAAAGAAAGTCTAGTTGTTATTAACTCTTTGGAGAAGCCAGAGAAAAAGAGTCTTCTTGGACTTCAAATTAAAAAAAGAAGGGCTGTGTTCATTACACCCTGAATTCTTAGGGATCGTAGCCATCTTCTGATATTCAAAAGCGTAATATGAAGGGGGAAAAAAAACAAAAAAACCCTTTCCAAACCAAGAAAACAAGAGCTGCAATATCTATCTATCTGTCTGTCTGTCTGTCTATCATGTATCTATCTATCTATCTATCTATCTATCTATCTATCTGTCTGTCTGTCTATCATGTATCTATCATCTATCTATCCACCCAACCATCCATCAACTATCTATATCCATCCATCCATCCATCTGTCTGTCTATCATCTATCTATCCACCATCCATCCATCCATTCATCAACTATCTATATCCATCCATTTATCTATCTGTCTGTCTGTCTGTCTATCATGTATCTATCATCTATCTGCCTATCTGTCTGTCTATCATCTATCTATCCACCCATCCATCCATCCATCCATCCATCAACTATCTATCTCCATCCATCATCTATCTATCTGTGTCTGTCTGTCTATCATCTATCTATCCACACATCCATCCATCAACTATCTATATCCATCCATCATCTATCTATCTATCTGTCTGTCTGTCTATCCATCCACCCATCCATCCATCCATCCTATCTATATCCATCCATCCATCTATCCGTCTGTCTGTCTGTCTGTCATTTATCTATCATCTATCCATCTATCCATCCATCAACTTATCATCTATCTATCTATCTATCTATCTATCTATCTATCTATCTATCTATCTCTAACACCAATCTATCTATACAAATCTATCTATATCTACACAAATCCATCAATCTAAATCTACACAAATCTATCTATACAAATCTATCAATCTAAATCTATCCATCTGTACAAAGCTATCAACCTATCAATCTAAATCTATTTATTGATCTATCCATGCAAACCTATACAAATCTATCAATCTATATCAGGGGTGTCAAACTGGCGGCCCACAGGCCGGATGCATCATAGAGAAACCGCACCCACCCCATTGCTGGCAATGGCAAAAAAAGTCAAGATACGTCGCAACATGTCACGTGATCTTGCGAGTTTGACAACCCCTAATCTATATCTATCTAGCTGTCTATCTATCCAAATCTATCCATCCATCTGTACAAATAATTATCTATCAATCTGCAAATCTTTAACCATCTGGCTCATCATTTTTATAATCACCTTACCAACCTAAGAGTAGCTGTATCACACCCAATTACCTGTGTTAAAAATTACCAATTATTATTTCTAGTTAGTTATCCCAGCTGCTGCCTCCTGTATTTCCGTTCCCTGTTGGCTATTCTCTTTGCAGACTTGACCCTCAAATGATCAGAGGTGGACGGGTGTGTATTTTGAGGCAATACCTTCTACAACCACGGAAGCAAAGCTACAGTCCATCCAAACACATATTGTAATAAAAACAGCTTTCATATTGTTAGAAGTCTTTGCTGAAGAAGATTAACCTAATTTAAGCACCGATTTAAAATATCAAGAAGAACCGATTGACCGTGTGTACTTTATTGCTTGTATTAAATTGTACTTTCTGGATTTGGAACCACAAGGACCCAACCTAATTCCTGGTTCAGCCACACAACTCCATTTGTTGTCTTTGGTCCAATGCTTTGCTTACCATTCTACCTACTGCACAAGCTGCATGTGCAAACAAACAAACAAACAAAACAAAAAACCAGGCCCTATCACCTGTTCATCTGTTAATAAATGACTGATTTCCCAGAGGTTCAAATGGCACCCCTATCTTTTATAACGGGAATCTCCAACCATGGCTTTATGACTTGTGGACTTCAAGTCCAAGTCCACAAGTCTGAAAGTTGCCATGGTTGGGGACCCCTAGTTTACAAGAAAGCTTGAGTATGTGTCAGTCTATTGCAAGGGTCTTCAAACTTGGCCCTTTTATGGCTTGTGGACTTCAACTCCCAGAATTCCTCAGCCAGCGTGCCTGACTGAGGAATTCTGGGAGTTGAAGTCCACAAGCCATAAAAGGACCAAGTTTGAAGACCCCTAGTCTATTATGTGCAAATCTCCATCTGCAGGACTGGGACAGCCATATTAGTGGCACTCAAGGAACAGTCCACGGCTCAACCATGTTGGTTTATTTCCTGCCTTTTCTCCAGGGGCTGAACGTGGCTTTCGTGGGACTTCCCTTCATACCAGGATTGTTGGGATTGAGAGTTGAGGGTGATGAGGCCAAAGTCACTCAATGAACTTGCGTGGCTGAAAATGGATTTAAATCTTCCCAATCTTTTCAACTCAAGAAATAGTGACGGAACAGCAATGGTTTGCTGTTTTTAAATGGATGCATAACTGAAGTGGAATAATTAACATGTAACAATGGGAGATATCACTGGGAAATAAAGATTAAATTTACCCCCACAAAGGGGGCATCACTGGAAGATAAATATTAAATTTACCAAGACATTTTACATTGAACTATAACTCCACTGATGATGAGCAAAATGGATCATCTTCTAGATCTAGAACTTTTTGGAAATGTAGGAACAACAACAAAATGTTTATGCCATCTAATTCTCAATGACCCAAGTAGCTCACAAAAGTCTGGGGTTTTTTTTGTGTGTGTGTGTGTGTTTGTTTTAAATATCTGGGGGCAAGGCTGTAAAGCTTAACCCTGCTGGAAGACAGTTTATTTTAGAAGGAAATAAATTTTAAGGCTGAATTCTCTTTCTTCCCAGATGTCTTTCAGTTGAACAGCACCAAAACCATATATCACTACAAAATATACCAAATTGGCTTTGTTTATTGGTGACCGTTGCCAGGATACTTTTAAGTCTTTTACTGGAAATCACACATAACTCCCTCTTTAATAGAATGCCAAAATAAGTTGTAGGCTCATGTGTCACTGTCAAAAATAAAATCTGAAAAAGAAAAAGTCTGAAACAGATTTTAATTCAAGTTGGAAGCCATTTATGGACTGTAATTCTACATACAGACATGTAATATATGCAAAGTTTGGGTTTTTCTTTAACGCGTGAGCTTTTGCTTCATTTATTAAATACAGATGTAATTTTTAGGTGAGACAGAAACCTTGATTAGCTTTCATTCCGATTTACAATTCATATTCCACTAATTTACTCACTGATGCTAACTTGATTTTTACAATGGTTCTGAAGTCATAAATTATTCAAGGTACTTTAAAATGCAGTTCAGGTCTAATATTACTTTGGCATTTCTATTCAACTTTTTACCGCTTGCAAATCTTTTTCTTAAATTCTTTTTTTTTTTTTTGGCTTTTCTTCCTGGTTTTGTTTTTAAGTATTTACTGCAATTTAAAAAAAAAATGTTTCCACATCTCCTGGATTAACCAAGCATTCCTTCATCACCACCCTTGCCTTCGCCTTCTTACAATTGTAGGATTGAACTTAATTCATGAGATGAATGTAGGATAGATAGATAGATAGATAGATAGATAGATAGATAGATAGATAGATAGATAGATAGATAGATAACTTAATACACTTTAATATTAATACACTTTACAACAGCGGTTCTCAACCTATGGGTCGCGACCCCATTTGGGGTCGATCGACCATTTCTCAGGGGTCGCCAAACAAGGCGATCCGCCATTTTTCCCCCTTGGGGGGCGGCGCCGCGCATACGCGGCACGTTTGTGTGACGGGGGTCGCCGTCACACAAACGTTGAGAAGCACTGCTTTACAAGGCCTTGGTAAGGCCACACTTGGAATCCTGCATCCACTTTTGGTCACCACGATGTAAAAAAGATGTTGAGACTCTAGAAAGAGTACAGAGAAGAGCAACGAAAACGATCAGGGGACTGGAGGCTAAGACATATAAGGAACGGTTGCTGGAATTGGGGATGTCTAGTTTGATGAAGAGAAGGACGAAGGGGGACAGGATAGCAGAGTTCCAGTATCTCAGGGGCTGCCACAAAGAAGAGGGAGTCAAGCTATTCTCCAAAGTGCCTGAAGGCAGGACAAGAAGCAACGGATGGAAACTAAACAAGAAGAGAAGCAACATAGAACTAAGGAGAAACTTCCTGACAGTGAGAACAATTAACCAGTGGAACAACTTGCCTCCAGAAGCAGTAAATGCTCCAACACTGGAAGTTTTTAAGAAGAGACTGGACAGCCATTTGTCCGAAATGGTATAGGGTTTCCTGCCTGAGCAGGGGGTTGGACTAGATGACCAAGGTCCTTTCCAGCAGCAGCAGCAGTAGCAGCATTATTATAAATTGCAGATATCTGAAGTTCATGAATTGATGGGGGATTATGA